GACAACAACACATTTACACTAGCCATTTAATGGGCTCCAGATTGACCTGGGATCTCCAGGCCCGCTGGCAAAACCATGTCTTCAGCGTCTTGCAGAAGAGCATCAAGTTGGGGGCCAGTCTTACCCCTGCAGGGATGATGTCCCACAGGGAGGGAGCCACCACAGAGAAGGTCCTTCTTCTCGATCCCACTAGTGCAGTGTTTCTCAAACTTGGCAACTTTAAGATGTGTTCCCCATGCTGGCTGGGGAATTCTGGGAGTTGAAGTCCACACATCTTAAAGTTGCCAAGTTTGAGAAACACTGCACTAGATGGACCTCCTTAATAGAGGGGACCTGTAACATACCCTGCCTCCCCGATCCGGTGGGTCGGGCAGAAGAAACTGGGAAAAGGCGGTCCTTCATGGTGAGTCTCGGGCAGTTGCTGATACTATCTTGACAAACAGAGGCTTCTGTTGATTAAGGATTCAAGTTTTTGTCTGACCAAACTCTTCGTCTTCTGGTTCAAGACCTCTGTGTGATTTGGAAGCTTGTAATCAAGTGAAAGAAGGACGGTTTCACCAAAAGATCAACTTTTCTTCCATAGCTGTTTTTTGGTACCTATCCAGTTAGAGTTGTATATTTGGTTATGCCATAACAAATGGTCCTGTTTCTCTGCCAAAATTATTTTTATGGTCATGGACCAGCCACATTAGTTTTCTAATCATTTTTCCAGCCTGCCCAAAAGTTTCATGTAATGCTGCTGTGTGGAATAATATGAATTGCTCATCGATTTACTTGATAATCTTTGTTATTTCTGAAATCATCTCATACACCTAAATATCACAGAAACATGGGTGAAATAAAATTTCACATACCTATGACAGTCACTGATTCAAATTTGTTTGTTGTGAAGTTCATCTGATCCATTTTTTGTTTTTGACGTGGGCATCGTAGAACAAATGAAGCTCAACTTTTAGTAGTCAACGTTAAGGCAATAACACTAAACATTCTTACCAAATCAGTATATTATTTGTACCTTAAAAAACCTTAAATCCACACTTCTTGAAAAATCATCAGATTAGGAATTTTGTAGCAAATTCAGATAATTTCAACATAACATCCCTCCAACACACTCACTTCTTACAATCCTAATCAGAACCCAACTCATTCTGAGGCCCATCCTGTTTGTGACCGATGAATCAGAGGGGCTGTATTTGAATGTGAACTAATGGGCTTTTAATAAAGAAGAAGCAAGACAAAGGAGTCCAAGTATTCTTAGCTGAAGCCAAACTATTTCAGGTGGTATACATTTATAGGATATGTGAGAGCCACACCTCTCTTAGACCTATAAGCCAAAGTAGTGTGTTACCACCTGTGAGTTGTTTTGTCCCCTAAGAGGAACTGTTGAAGTTGTTTTCAGATTAAAAAGGCACATTTTCTGGCTGCAAGTATCCACGGCTGCCTTGTATTTCCTCAGTGTTTGACCAGTCAGCATGTCAGCCACCAAAAAAACTTTTTATTTTAAGTTCAAGGATTTCTGAAGGGCTGGCCTGGAGCCACCCCTCCCAAATCCAGACTCAGATCCCATCTTCTGAACCAGGTTTGCACTTAGCAAAAGTGTGAGGCATTTTGCAGCATTGCAGAATGCCAGTTCTTTTTAGAGGTGGAGAGGATCGAACTGTGGTGACGTGATGTGGCATCATGGAGGAATGGGGTGGATAATGTCAGCGGGCTTCCCCGGCCAGACTTTTAACAATTTTTTGGGGGGGGGATGCAATACTCAGCTCTGGGAATTGCCACTCCCTTCTCCTCTTTCTCCCTCTCTCTCTGCTGCTGCACCAGTCTGTCTGCAGAGTGTTTCTCTGGCCCACTTCCAGGTCCTTCTTGTTTGGAAAGCTCAACTGCTGATTTGGTTAGGGGAGAACTTGCCCCACACCAGACTCACATCTGACAGACCCTGGAGGATGGGGACCAAAAAGAGAAGGGTCTCTAGATTCCAGAAGACGTCTCAGGACAACGGTTGAGATTTTGTGGTGGTGGGAGCACTGACCAAGGACTGGTGGAATAAAACCGAGGGGGAATTAGCCAGGCTTTGGTGCATAGTGGCAGCAGAAGGAGCGTAACACTAAGTTGGGGTGAAGTTTCCTATAAACAATTTGTCTTGGAGCCAGTTCTGGGCAGGACCTGAGCATCCTGCCTCCTCCTGACCTGCCTGGCAGTGGATTAAGACGCTGCGCCTGGTTATGCAGTATCCCGTCTCCATGGCAACCCCGCATCCTCTGCATTGGAGTTTGCATTATTCATCCGCAGTCCCAGCTGCCGCAGCTGGCCTCAATCTTGCCTTAAACACTTGGAGGCTTCACCTTACTTATAGGCTGCAGTTAGATTTGGAGAGGGGACGATGTGTCTCTGTTTTTTGAACGAAGCAGAGGCAATAGGGCTTGGGTGGTTCTGAGAGGTTCTGGAAGGGGGTTGAGGGCAAGCCAACTTTCTAGTTTTCTCTGCAAGAACAGTGAACCAGCATAGGTAATGCTTCCAAAGCATGTGATGGAGGGTGCAAGTTGGTGTGTAAGGGATGGGGCAGCTCAGAGTGTTGCTATAAACACGACTCACGGGGCAGGGGGTTGAAGTAGGGGATCTCCAAGATCCCTTCCAACCTTTACATTCTTGGATTGTCTGATTCTGTGAAAGGAGTATGGAGGGGGCGGTAAGGTTCCCAGATCAATCTGCCCCAAATAAAGGATGCTGTGTGGCCAAATTGTTGCCACCCAGCATCCTTTATTTGGGGCAGATTGATCTGGGAATCATGGCTAAGGTAAGATTTCCCTACTTTTGGTGTCAGGTGGGAAAAAGGCTGCCTCTGCAGTGAGATCCAAGAATCAGTCCCAAGAGGGGGAATTTTAGTAGCCTGGGCTGAAATTAGGATGACGCCTAAAATGTTATGAGTGGGGCAAGGACGACACTGGTGGTGAAGAAGACAGAAGAGAAAGCCCATGAAGGCAAGGCTAGACGTCTGGAGGGTGCTTTGGCCAAGGAACCCTTAATAAAAGTCAAGAATGTTCACTTCTTTTCTATGCCCTTATATAGGAATGGAAGAAACAGCATTGTCAAAATAAGTCAAAAGCTATAGGAGTTCTGGGGAAAGGGGCGGTCAATGAGGCTTCCTTGGCCAGAAAAATTGGAGTCAGTTACAAGGAACGGGATGGAAATGGAGAGCAGGAGAATTAGAGAAATGCTGTTGACGTTTCTTCCCGATGGTGGGCCAGATGAAATCCCAGTGGAAGAACATTCAGTTAAGGAAAAAAAAATCTTGGCTTTCCCGTTGGGGGCAGGCAGGCAGGCACGTAGAGAACAAGTTATCCAACCAAATAGGTTTGGGGGTGGGCTGAAAGATACCATGGCAATGTCTGTACAACCCACTGAGTCAGATCCATGAAAGACCTAGGAGCTGCACTGACACACCAAGCTTCATTTGAGTATGGAGGAGGAGGAGGAGGAGG